CGGAAACTTATCAATCCACCCAAGTATATATATAATTTTTTTTAAATAAAGGTATATATGTTTTTTATTATCAGTAAAAAATAAAATGACCTTATTTAAATTTTAATAAAAGCATATATTTAGAAAGAAACATGTAACATAATGTAAGATTAACAATCAAGAAATACAAAACAGTAGAAATTTAATTTAGATGCTATTGAAAATGTGCATTCTTCCACAATCAAACAAAAAGAAGTTATTTTAAATATAAAACAATGTAACAACTATGAAAAAAATCACATTTCTCACTTTTAGTTCTGCAAACATTTTTATTACGTCTTTTAAATTTATTTGTTCAGATTCTTACAATGTTTTAGTAACATTTCCTTGGACATAGTATTTAAATCGTATATACATTGTACAAGAATTGGAAATAGTTACTATGATTACTAAGTTGTTCAAATATAGCATCTATTGTATTTAGATTGTAAAATAAAAAAAATCTATTTAATACTTTTATGCAGCAGATCTATTATGTCATTTTGCATGTTTTTTCCCAAATATTCGTATTAAATAAATAAAATAAACGAAATAAGTTAATTTGAAGACATCGAAATTGAAATAATAAATTGCTGTTTAAATTTCTTCAAAACAGAACACAGTGAGATCCATTGAAGTGCGCCCTTTCCAAATTTTTTTTTCAAACAGCCACGATAACGAGTACTTAACGAAAGTTGACGAAAAAATCGATATGTGAAATTTTTTATTAATTGGGTATTTAACATATCAATATTTTTTCACACTTACAGCCAAAATGCCCCCCCCCTACATTTCGGTGCCCCGCACAAATGTCCGGGTAATCCCCACACCTGACTGCGCCTGGTCAACAACTAGCATTCTTTTTACAAACACTGAAAATAAAAAAATATACTTCCTTACTTGTTAATAAGCCCCATGGAATTTAATAATTCATATTGAATACAATTTTTATCCTCAACATTCATGATTGCTGCAAAATTGTTTGAAACGAAAGAAGGCAGTGAATATGATAACAACAAACCAACAAAAATTAGTGAAGTGAACCAGGGTGAATTACCTTTAAATCTAAAAGAACTTGTTAAGGAGAAAGCTAGGAAAGCTCTCACGTATGACAAAGAGTATTTTAAAATATTCTCGAAAGACAATCAAATTAAGATGATTTTATACTTTTCATTGATTATAATTATAATTAATGTTATTTATAATATACTTACACATACAATATAACCTTTATTTACTTTGTTATTATAAAAGAATTTTATTTTTCCTTTGTTATTATATACACTGTTTCTTATAAGAATATATGTATTGTTTTGACAAGAGGTATTTATTGTTATAAAAATTATAGAAGTGATACAAAGTTGTCGAAAGTGTGGGAAACACACTGATCTACTACAACAAAAGTTTATTATCGCCATTAAATTGTTAAAATAAATTTTACTGTAAAAAATAGTTTATGCTGATGTAGAAATTTTAGACCGTAGGTGTAGATCATAAATTTGTTAAACTAATCAATCAACAACAGACTTTCTTGTAATATTGAGAAGCAACAAATATATGTGAATATCAAGTCATTGTTTTTTAGTATGAATACATATTTTTGATCTCAGCAATGGAAAGAGCAGAAAATTCAATAATCGAAAATACCTTTGAAGCTGATTTGATATTATATTTTCGTATTCCGAATAACACTCTTTTACAATAATTTTTGTCTACTTCCTCGTGACCGCCACGCCTTTTTTTCCAACTAACGTGTTAGGAATTCAGTCAAATATGCCGAGGTCTGCATTTCTATAAAATTTTGAGCATTATTTCGATGACATCATCACCTCCATCATCATACCTTTTATGTCTGAGAAAGTGTCCTACTAATTTATTTCGCCATTTCTTATTAACTTCCATAGCGCCCTCTGTTCTCCTTCTCTTTCTATAAAACCTTCTCATTTCTAAACTTTTCTATCCACATTCATATTAAAAAGTAATCCCCTCTGTTAACTTAAAATTTGTTTATATTTCGAATAACGTTGAAATATTAAGCCCAGTTCTCCGACAATTTATATCTATTTCATCTACTTATTTTAGAAAAGCCTCGCCTAAGAGATGGGAAAAGTCCCATGGGGGAGGGGAATATTTTTCACACTACAACCTAGCCTAGCCTACTCTATCTATCCTAATGCAAACTAATATAACCTAGGTCAGATAGAGGGCAGGTAATGGTGTTGTGTCTGGGGAAGGGTGCTATTTCTACCACCTTTCATAGGTGAGCTTCCAAGGGCGTTAAATACAGTATTTGTTACCGTAATTATTTATACGATCAGTGGTTGTCAAAGTCATTAACTTGTCGCCTTGCCAAAATATTGTAACCTAACCCTAATATCAGATGAATTACATACATCTGCAATAACCGGGTAATGTTGATATTAAGGTTAATGGCTAAACTTATGTATTACCAGTGGTGTTGTCGAGCCGGAACGCTCCGGAACGTCGTTCCGGTACTTCCTTTTTGGACAGGAACGCGTTCCGGAACTAAAGATGATTTCTGATAACGAGAATTGGCTGACGTATTGAAAAAAAAATAAATTATTTCGTTTCCTTTCCTTTTTATGCTATATACAGGGCCGATCTTGGCGACGGGCGAAAATTGGGGGAAATCCCCCCCCCCCGTCGTCGTCGTCAAATTTGGGACATGAGACCGCACAGAGCGGTCGCCTACCCAGGATCGGCCCTGTCTATATAATTATATATACGCGTTCCGGTAAAAAAAAAATTAGCACAACACCACTGTGTATTACATAATGAAATCATGGACCTGCCAATGACGTGAATAAGTAACATGTAGCACTGTACATGCGCTACCTTTCAGTCTCGAACGAAAGGTTTCACTTTAGAATATTCGTTTTTTTCAGTGCTTCTGATCTACAATTCATCCAACACAGAATAAGACATTTGGTGGAGGCATTCTCTTTTAGAACCCAAAAAGCTCGCCAAAGAATAGAACAATCTGCAACACCATCGTCCATAAGCAGTCACGAATCAGTTTTGGTTGTGACGCCAAAATCAGAAGCGTCAGTTCAACAGAGCACGATGGATTTCGATGACGATTTCGATCGTCCATCGCTCATGTCACCATATTTCGACGGGAACTGCTTCCAAAAAATCAAATTTTACATCGAATTTAAAGTAATACATCCCCAAACGACTTCGTATGTAGTATGGATGTGTATTGCTGCACTGGCTGTTATTTATAACGTATGGGTGATACCTTTAAGAAGTAGTTTTCCGTATCAAACACCCGATAACAGGGCGGTTTGGATGTTCTTCGATTATCTAGCCGACTTTGTCTATCTTATAGACATTATATTAGTTCAACCAAGAATTATGTACATATGCGACGGATTCTGGGTTTCGGATATCAAGATGACAAAAAGAAATTATATTCGGAAAGTAGACTTTAAGGTAAGTATTATTTAAGATAGATAATTTACACGGGTTGCACATTTTCATACTTCTACACTTAATGGAATAGGCTCTAACTTTTTTAATTCATTGTTCAAAAGTACTTACATAGTAGAGTTTTATTTGCCCATATATCTGGCTATTCACAACTACAGCATAATATGTCAATTTAAGATATGACTGTTTCTAGAAATAGTGTAGAGATATAATTTTATATTTCAAGTAATATTTAACGTACAATTGACAATTATAGAAGACAAGACGTGTTAAGTGTTTAGCATAACATTTTAGTTAAGCAAAAACTTAATTCTGCTCAAAGATCTGAATGTTTTACACTCAATTAAGAATATTGTCAATAACAAAAAAAGAACGCCTACGCCTATTCAATACTCCACTGCTTCTGAATCTGTAATTTCTTGAACATCCCAAAAATTTGTATTTAAAGCAACAACAGCCACATTGTATTTCAGTTTTGTTATACTTTTGGGAATTGCTTTTTAGTCGTTACAACTATCAGGTACGTACTTTTTTAAATATAAGGTGTCTCAAAGAAAGTTTATATTCGATCAACCGCTTTGGAGCGTTTCTTGGGAACAGTCCCTATGTTCTATGCGCGAGAATATTAGAATATTCCCAAGTGTTATCATTCACACTAAAAAAGCCAAAAATCTGGGTCACCAAGGTCATTAAGAACGGAGGTATCGATAGAGAGTGCTAATGAGTCAGTTCGTAACGATTCGAATCCGTGCGTTCGGAAGTTCTTTAAACGTGCAAGATTATCAATACATTCCATATTTCACAAAGACTAAAAATAGTATCCCTAAAAAATCTAATTCGTGAGTAGATAGGGTATCACAGTTCGGCCTCAAGATCCTATTATTTCTTTATGATAGAAAGTCCTGGGTTCGATTCTGTGTGACAGCAGGAATAATTTTTTTTTCTCATTAATTTGAGGTAACTTACAGTCGAAAAAAATTGAGAATGAATTTTCAAATGAATATTTCCTTATGATTTTTATCCCTTCTGTTCACTTTTACCTCTTCCATGGTCGTCAACTATATCTGACAGCTACCATCATTAGCAAGCCCCTTGACCCCCCCTGCGGGTATTCTGTCCCCTTGAGGCCTCCTTCATCTGTTGCTCCCTAATCATAAGATTCTCCTCTGTTGCTGGGTTCTGCGATACCTCATCCGCAGCCTGCGTCTTTGAATTTCCCGCTATCTCCATTATAGTTTATCCTGGCGCCACCGTTATTATGACATTACTAATATCTCTTTTAACAAAAAAAAAACACGTATTATGCCGTTTCTGTTTTTAATGTAATTACGTATATTTACTGTTTTAAGCAATTGAATTTTGTTCCAGTTGGATTTGATATCGTTGCTCCCGTTGGATCTTCTTTATTTTTACTTTGGACCAGAACTGGTTATACTACGTCTTCCAAGATTTCTTAAAGTTAACACATTCTGGAAATGTATAGAATTAATAGATAAAATAATTCATTCTCCTCATATTATCAGAATAAAGAAAATTCTGATGTACATGATGTACTTAATTCACTTGAATGCTTGCGCCTACTATGCTTTTTCGGCATGGGAAGGCATCGGAAGTAACAGTTTCGTCTATAACGGAAAAGGAAATGCATACATCGTTTGTTTCTATTTTGCCACAAAAACGGCAACTTCGATTGGAAAAAATCCAAAACCAACGCAGGAAATCGAATACATTTTTATGACATTTTCGTGGTTGATGGGTGTGTTCGTGTTTGCACTTCTCATCGGTCAAATAAGGGATATAATTGCTACTGCTACCAGACAACAATCGGATTTCAAAAAATTAGAAGACGAAACTTTGGAGTACATGCGAAGGCAGAATTTGCCACAGGAGACACTACGAAGAGTGCAATTGTGGTTCAACTATACATGGCTAACTCAACGAACTTTAGGTACAAAAGCTTTTTGTCATTTAGTATTAAAAAATCCTACAAATGGCGCGGTAAACGCCATCTGTAGTACAATGCTACATTTTACGGATCACTGTGTATCCAGAAGTACCTCACCACTACGTGATAAGCACGAAATCGAAAAGAAATTTGAAGTGGCCAGTAATCTGTCGAAACTGCCAGAAGCGCTAATGAGATCCAACGAGATCGAAATCGCGATCCGTGTCTGGCAGTTTCGACGGAATACTGACCACTTCGAATTTCTTTATTCATTTAATATTAAGTTGGTCATTTTCATTGTAAAAACTACATTTTTAAATAAATGTTGATTATATAGGAGGCTATGAAATCCTATGTCATTTTAAAAGTTTTTCTTTGCTAAACTTTATCAACAATTTAACCAATTTAACGCAATTACTTTTGGTTGCTATTTTAAATTTACGTTGTAAAATTAAATAAGATAAATGCACCAAAAGATAACTGAAGCAAAAATTACTTGGGCGCCACATTGCCAAAGCAAAGAATCAAAAGATAAACAAGAATAGAAATTTACCTCGGGATGCTCAGTCAGAGGTTCTTGGATTCCCTTCATTAAAAGAGAGTTCGAAGCTCTCTAACAATAAAGCAATAAAGTAACAGCTACTATATAAAATTTATTTNAACTACCATATAAAATTTATTTAAAACACCAATTCGTAGTTTATTTAATGATTACAATGAATTATTTTCTTATAATGGGGGGATCGTTAGTCAGTTCCTGTCAGAGTCTAATCCATCCATGGCATCATCTCCGGGAATGACTTATTCGGGGTTCTTAAAGATGCGGCAGACAGAAAAAAATACCCATAAAAATGTTCGATGAGGGTTACTTAGCAACAGGTGGTCTGATAGATGGGGGAGGTAGAGTGCCTGGAAATCACCTCAGTTACCTTAAAGAAACCATCTACTGGAGCCGGCCAACCTACCATAAGAAAATCCTCCGAAATAGTTATTTCAAGGACTCTGACAAGGAGTGACCGATGCTCTTCGAACCCCTAATTTAAATTTCAGCCTAACTAGACCAATTAAAACAATACCTAAGAATAATTTAATTCTACAATTTAAATATTACAAGGAAGGTGCAAAGTAATACAACAAATTAATTAAAAAAAAACTAGATCGAGTAATTGATCTAATTAACCAGCAACAAATGGCCAACGGTCAAGAAAGCAATCAAAGGCTACTTATCAAAAACGTTGCATTGTAATACCTTCAAACTGTGTAAAATTCAATAATCACAAGAAAAACATCAGAAAGGGTACCTAATACAGGAAATGAGGGAGAGTCTGTCGGGACTCCGTCAGTTTTGAATCTTTTACTCTTAAATTATTCAACAGTACAAATACGAAACAATTCAGTAGGTACCATAAATTTAAAAAGGTATTAAAGAGCCTGGAAGCTTCCATTAAATTTAAATAAAAGCCCCGTTATCCAACATGAAAATAATTAAATCGAATTAATTCAAATTCAAAAATAGCGTGATCACATTATCAGTATCAAATAAAATTAGTCAAAACTACTGATAATAAAAGGATAACAAGAGGACTCTGCTCAAGTTAAAAACTCGGAACAAACTCTTACCCAGGGAAAACCTAATACCACATAGTCATTGCACCAGTCACCCAAAAGTTAATTACACGAACAAAAGAAAATAATTTATATGCTTAGCTTTTCATCCTGAGAAAGAGTCAAAGAAACAGGAATTCATTTTTCCTAATTAGGTCTCGAAGCAAGTTAATGATCTATTAAATACGAGGTCCGTTCAAAAAGTATTGCGACTTTTTAATTTCCGCTGGTTACATATATTCGATTTTCGATTTTTTTGTGGCATTATGTTGAATGTTCAGTTAATTTTTGACAGCTGCTTAGCATGCACGCGTTTTGGTTTTCGATTTTTGCCTATTCCTTCGATTGCAGGGGCGTGGTGCATCATGAGTATTTTTGCCACCGGGTAGAACGGTAAATAAGGAATATTACCTGCAAGTTATGGGCAATTTGCAGGAAAGAAATCCGACAGAAACGCCTGGGTTTGGGGAAGAACAAAAATTGGCTTTTGCACTTTAATAACACCCCTGCTTATACACCGTTGCTTTTGCGCGAATTTTTGGCTAAAAACAACACACTAATAATGTCGCAGTCACCGTATTCCCCAGATCTGACCCCCTGTGACTTTTTCTTGTTCTCGAAGCTGAAGAGACCGTTGAAAGGACGATGCTACGCTACGATTGAGGAGATAAAGACGGCAGCGAATGAAGAGTTGAACAAGACCATAGAAAATGATTTTTTGAAGTGCTTCGAGGATTGGAAAAAACGTTGGCATAAGTGTATAATATCTGGTTGGGATTACTTTGAATAGGACAAAATAAATATGCATGAATAAGTAAATAATTTTTGAAAAAGCACAAAATGTGCGCTACTTTTTGAATAGACCTCGTTCAAGTACAGCATTCAAAAAGTCTCTAACATAAATAATAAGAATATCGGAAACAAATAAATTTAATGTTTTTGTTGTCTCTTTTATTTCTAGGTCACATTTTACAGATATTAACTTTGGTACATTAATAATATAAAGATAATATGTAAAATAATGCTTTTCGTATATATAATACATGTCGTATCTGTTCTTTCTATTTATTTGCTGATCTTAACGATTTTATATTGTTCCATAAAATTTTTACGCCTTTTTTTCACAGAGGAGAACACAATTCTGGACTGCCTTCCTCATAAAATGAAGACGGACACTGCAAAGAACGTGCACTTCAAGACATTGAGCAAAGTGAGCCTTTTTAAGGATTGCGACGAGGGTTTATTGCATGAGCTAGTTCTGCAGCTCAAATCGATGATCTACCTCCCTGGGGACATCATTTGCAAGAAAGGGGACGTCGGTAACGAAATGTATATTGTCAAATCTGGGCAGGTCCAGGTCATCGGTAGAACAGATGACGAAATACTAGCCACTCTATCCGAAGGATCTGTGTTTGGAGAAATTAGTCTTTTGGGTATTAAAGGGATGAACCGGAGAACTGCGGACGTTAGGTAAGCTATCGTATTAATGTAATAATCTTCTCCGACAGATTGCAGTCATTTCTACAGTAACGGACGTACTTTAACTCAAATAAGCATCCACCGGTAACAAATAAGATACATGATACGTTTCATTATGTAGTACGAGTTACTTTTAAAATTAATTATATTATTNAACTCAAATAAGCATCCACCGGTAACAAATAAGATACATGATACGTTTCATTATGTAGTACGAGTTAGTTTTAAAATTAATTTACTCAAAAAATTAAGTATAACATTAAACCTCAAAATTGTGGAATTTTGACGTTTAGTATAGTTGAGAAATATTAAGTTATTAAGGTACTAAAAAGGCTGTAGGGGTTGGAGTAAAAGCCACAAAGGGATGCGTATTTGTTTATAATGTTGTACGACGGGAGTTGTAAGAGCATTACCACAGGTTACTAACAAGTAGTGTGGTCGCAATGTTGTAAATTCCCAAAAACTTTTACCCCTATTAGGGATTCTTAACTTAAGCCTTACTTGGAAAAACCCCAAACAAAAAATAAGTACAATATTATGCTTGTAATTTCTTCATTAAAAACTTTTTCTTTACTAGAAAGTCGAAACTTTCGAACTGATGAAATGCTTAGTCTCAGTTCTACTTAACAGTTAGCAGCTTCATAGAGAAGTTTGAACATTAAGTAAGGAGGTTTTGTACTAAACGACGTTATTTAATTCTACAAATACGAAAAGGCAAAAGTCCCTATTAGATATAAAATCTTTAAAAAACCCCATACCATTTATTTGCCCCCTAAATTTGAGGGGAAATCCTTTCTGTTTTGTATCTTTTATCAGTCATCATGCATTTCGGACCTGTTTTTGCTCCTACCTCTGGTCTACAAGGGAAATACAAACATTTGCTTTGTTTATTTTTGAAGAAAATGAAAGAATAAAGTTCTACACTACTATCAACTTCTGTTTTTGACTTATAACAGTCAGTTATTCCTACTTTCTACACTCAGCTGCATTTCGGTTGTACTTTAGTGCTGGTGTACCAAAATTTTGGTGTGTCTAGTCTCTATTTCTGTTACAAATATATCATTAATATCTATAATGTGCGTATTAGGTTATGTAGTCAACCGTCTTTTCACCAATTGAAGAAAAGTTAATTTTAATAATTAAAAATTGAATTTTAAAATTATTTCATTTTTTAATATATTTTCCATGCAAGCTTGATCGTTTGCAAAAAGTATTTTCAGTTGAAGTTATTACTGAAGATGTCGCAAAATGTTTAAAAAAAAAGAATAGTCTAGAAAATGCATAGAACTAACTCATGTCGGTTGTGAAATACCAAAAACTATTGTAATTTTCACACACTACATAAAGAAGACAAAACATCGGCAATGGACTATTTAAAGAAATTGAGAAGATGAAGTGTTGAGGTCCGGTGAGGATGGTGTTTGGACTCTGGGCCAGATAATAAGAAGACTCGTGTTTGCTCATATAAACTCTTTAATGAATGAACATCAAAAAAGGTTCCTTTTTGATTTTAAATTAATCACTTGTGTGCCAGACAATTTTCGTTAACAAAACATGCAATTAAATGCACGATGCGGCTCGATTAATTTGGAGTACGATTTTCTCGACTTTTATATTTGACTTTCTCTTTCGTTCTAATAACGCGTGGCTTTATTTTTCTTATTGATTGATAACACTAATTTGTGTTGCCAAGCAAATTTTACTTGTCTAGCAGACGACAAAATGATTAATCTGAAGATGAAGATTACATAGTCATGAAAATAATGTCACTTACACTTCAAATTCCTTCATTTGTTCCTAATTGCAGCCTCCAGCGGATGCGCTGTTTGTGGAAATTTCCATGGTCACGCATTAAAATTTTTTATTTTACAGGTCTCGTGGTTATTCAAATCTTTTCGTCCTCAGTAAAATTGACCTCAACAACGCGTTAACACATTATCCCGAAGCTCAAGAATTGCTCAACAAAAAGGCAAAACAACTGATGAAACAGAACGAAGCGTTAGAACGTAAAAACAAAGCGATGATTGTAATTAACAATCCAACTCCTCCGAATCCAGAACCAAAATTGTTGGAGACTGTGTTACAACTCGTGCCACGGGACTCAGAAACACATCGCCTACTTCGTTACGGTTCAAAAATTCGAGCAAGAAATCCGGAGAACGACAAGTTCAAAGTGCGGTATAGTCTTCCGATTACAACGGAGTGTGTCGAAATAAAAAATAACGGAGAGGTGAACTCAAAAAGTGACGAAAAAAGTGGAAAATTATTGTCCAGGCATTCAATAGCGCAACCGGTTGTCAGATGAGAAAACCGTTAGATAAATGGGTGCACGAAAATTTTAAACGCCTGTGAAGAGTACACTATTAAACTATGATCTACCTATGTAAAATAATATAATACATGTCGTATCTGTTCTTTCTATTTATTTGCTGATCTTAACGATTTTATATTGTTCCATAAAATTTTTACGCCTTTTTTTCACAGAGGAGAACACAATTCTGGACTGCCTTCCTCATAAAATGAAGACGGACACTGCAAAGAACGTGCACTTCAAGACATTGAGCAAAGTGAGCCTTTTTAAGGATTGCGACGAGGGTTTATTGCATGAGCTAGTTCTGCAGCTCAAATCGATGATCTACCTCCCTGGGGACATCATTTGCAAGAAAGGGGACGTCGGTAACGAAATGTATATTGTCAAATCTGGGCAGGTCCAAGTCATCGGTAGAACAGATGACGAAATACTAGCCACTCTATCCGAAGGATCTGTGTTTGGAGAAATTAGTCTTTTGGGTATTAAAGGGATGAACCGGAGAACTGCGGACGTTAGGTAAGCTATCGTATTAATGTAATAATCTTCTCCGACAGATTGCAGTCATTTCTACAGTAACGGACGTACTTTAACTCAAATAAGCATCCACCGGTAACAAATAAGATACATGATACGTTTCATTATGTAGTACGAGTTAGTTTTAAAATTAATTTACTCAAAAAATTAAGTATAACATTAAACCTCAAAATTGTGGAATTTTGACGTTTAGTATAGTTGAGAAATATTAAGTTATTAAGGTACTAAAAAGGCTGTAGGGGTTGGAGTAAAAGCCACAAAGGGATGCGTATTTGTTTATAATGTTGTACGACGGGAGTTGTAAGAGCATTACCACAGGTTACTAACAAGTAGTGTGGTCGCAATGTTGTAAATTCCCAAAAACTTTTACCCCTATTAGGGATTCTTAACTTAAGCCTTACTTGGAAAAACCCCAAACAAAAAATAAGTACAATATTATGCTTGTAATTTCTTTATTAAAAACTTTTTCTTTACTAGAAAATCGAAACTTTCGAACTGTGGTCGCAATGTTGTAAATTCCCAAAAACTTTTACCCCTATTAGGGATTCTTAACTTAAGCCTTACTTGGAAAAACCCCAAACAAAAAATAAGTACAATATTATGCTTGTAATTTCTTCATTAAAAACTTTTTCTTTACTAGAAAGTCGAAACTTTCGAACTGATGAAATGCTTAGTCTCAGTTCTACTTAACAGTTAGCAGCTTCATAGAGAAGTTTGAACATTAAGTAAGGAGGTTTTGTACTAAACGACGTTATTTAATTCTACAAATACGAAAAGGCAAAAGTCCCTATTAGATATAAAATCTTTAAAAAACCCCATACCACTTATTTGTCCCCTAAATTTGAGGGGAAAATCNTAACGAATTAGAGATAGCATATAAGTAAACTAAAAATGCACAATGACTTTAAAAACAAGCTTTCAAGTGATCATTTTAAATGAAACATAACGAAAAACGAAAACTTTCTAGAGAAATATACATAGCTAATACATAAATTAAAAAGATAGAAATTGTTTATAGTAAATGCCAATATTGTACAATTTGTTATGGAATGCTTTTAAAGAAAACCTGCATCTCTTATAATTTGAAAATCAAAATATTGAAATATATTAAAAGAGAGGTACCTACTTATAGTTTTGTATCATTAACTTAGACATAGTCATGTTGAACTATATTTTTTATATTTTCGTTGTTAAATAAAGGAAATAATTTATATTCAATGTACATATATTATTATTGTAATGCGGAAAAAGGAAGTTATGTTTGAAATTTACGCTCACATATTGATACGAGTGGATGTATCTAAACCATTCTTTTGGTTAGTAAAAGTGAATTTTAAATGAACTAATTTATTACTAAGAAAAAATTTTTGAAAATTTTCTTTAGTTGTATAACCTCTATCACGTTTTGGGCAATTTATCGCCATATACCTACTAACATTTACTAAGTGTATCTATAATTACCGGGAAGGTAATAGCAGTGTCATTGGTAATGCTATTACTTCACCCAGTATCATTACATCGAATAGTAGGGGCCCTAGTATTGGACCCTGTGGAATATCCCGACCACATAATGTTTAGAACTGATAGTATCACCTATTTTAACCAGTAGCGTTCAGACAGTGTGACAATAAAATATCATTTTTTAACGTGTCAAATGTTTTGACCAAGTCAGCCAAAATAGTAGGTTTAGAGCTATCTATCGGTTTAAAATCTTTTCAGTTAAGGTGCAAATGGCATATGCAGTGTGTTTATTGTTTATGAAACCGAATTGTAAGAGCATACAAATATATAACCAATATTCTCACCACTACAACACACACAAAACTAAATTTAAATGTAGTCTAATGATGGCAAAAGGCGAAACAACTGCTAAAAAATAAGAAAATTCGTAATATTGAGATAGGTATACAAGAAATAATCAATTTTGTGTTCGACTAGAAAATTCATCATCTTGTCATTTTATTGTTTAAACAGTTTTCAAAAATTTTGCTGTGCAAGAAATTAACGAGATGGAGATAAGAAATTAACGAGATGGACCTATATATCGGCACATTGTTCTTATCACCACTTTTGAATATAGGCATTTTTACTGCTCTTTTCAAGATCTAACAAGAATAACCCAAATTAGAAGTGTTTATATTATCCGGTCCTGGCGCTACGTTACTTTTTGAATCATTGTTAGAATCCGTGTTGCGTTCGAATTAAGGGTTTACTTTACCATTAAAGTATCCTATTCTTTTCGTTGAGCTCACTAATAATAATTTACGGTCTCAGAAGACGATGTCAGATGAGATATGTAAGTAGGTGGTACTTCGTTCGTGTTGTCTTCTCTACCGTAATCTTATGATCTTAAACTAACTGCCGGTATGTACGCCAGTTGATTGTTCCAAGAAAATTAATACTGTTTGTTTCAAGAAGTTAGAGATATGCCCCTTCCCTTTATTAGGATAAGCCGTAGCATAATTCCAAACTCAATCATATTTGTCTGCGGAGCTCATTTCTACACCGATCATAGAGCGAGAACTAGACAAAAGTTTACAGTACCATTTGTAAAATTATTTAAACTGCCTCGTTAAAATTTAAGAATATGCTTTATTTAAAAGCATATTTAGCCAAAAATAATAACAAGTGAATTAACTTAACGTTCTACACACCTATAAAACTTTTGCTTTGTTTTCTATTGTTAATTTATATACATTTTTGTTTTAAGAAATTGCTAAACATTTTCGTCTAGTACTGTACAGTTCTAGCCGATCTCCTAAGACCGCCCATCGAGAGCTCTGCT